ACCCCCTTTAAGGGGCTGTATCTTAACACGGGATGCTCCAATGAAATTTCTTTATATGAAAGATCTTTTTTTCGATGAGGAATCACCTCCTTAAATGTTTTACATTTATTCAGTTACACCCTGTATATACAAATAAATGTATAGAGAGGAATATCGATGGTCTAAACTCTAATTTCTTATTTCTAGAAGTATGACTATCGTTCATTTACCGAAAAATCACGTGCTTTTTTTCATTTCGAGGAAATACAAGTGTTGTGACGCTCTAACGCAAGAATGTCCATGAAGTCTAGAAATATCTCTCCCGGTAAATTTTGAATATAAATGAGGTCTTTGTTTCTTTAATTGAAACACCAGCGACCTGACCTTCCCAGATGAAGGTACGAATTTCAGGAATTATTTTGTTTCAGGCAAACAGGACAGGAATTCTGTTGTACGATATAGACACAGATGACCCGGAACTGGAAAATTTGATAGATTTATTCACACTACAAATTGCCAACGAAAAGGTGGAGTTCAATGCAGCCGGATTTTTTTCGATAAATTACAAACTCCTATTCGCGGTAAGTTCAATTTTCGAACGCTAGTGTATTAAAATTACATTTCTCCAGTACACCATGAATATTTAATGATTTTTGCCTACATGGTTGCCCAAAATATTCAAGATATTTTTGTTTTACTTGTTCGTTCAGTGTTTTTAAATTTGTTTCTTAAATGATAATATTAATATCATCTTTTAAGTTGAATAGGAAAACTTTTTACAAGAGATTATTTTTTTTCTTCTATTTCTCCATCATAAAAAGTGCTCCGTCTTGTAATGTTATCCAAAAAGGTGCTGTTGAGGTGATAAGTGTCTTGTTCCGAAACTTCGAAGTCCACCACACACTTCAATGTGATATTTCCACAGAAAACCACAACATGTGTTTCGCTATATAGCGTCTTTGTGACGTCGTGACGTCGCGGTTTTATGAACTTTCAAGCGGAAATCTCACATTAAAGTGTGTTTTTTGAAAAACAAATGTTATGATATGAATTGATCAAATTAAATTTGTACACATTGCTTTATTTTTAACTGAAATTCAAATTAAAGTTCACTGATGATTCAATTGAAGAGTTATTTTATGTTTATTTACATTTATTATCGTATTATCTGAATTAGCCTCAATGTGACAAAGTAGGCATTAATATTATTTTGAAAATAAATAATCACTTCTGAAGACTTTCACTTCAGTACCTTAGAAGGCTTGTTTCAGCAAATAATAGCTTATTAGGAAACACTTTTTTGTGTTATTCTCCAAGCATAAGTTTTTATAATTATAGGATAATTTTTAACGATTTTCAATTCAACTTTGCCTGGTTCAAATGCGAATTTTTGATATTGGTTAAAAATTTATAACCATCGCGTAGTTTTAAAGAGCTAATTATTTTATGCATAAAAGAACCATTCATTAGGAACATGTTATGAAAAAATAAGTATTCAAACTGATACGTCCCAAAATTCTCATAGAAACACTAGAAAATTTCATAATTCTAAAACTACAACTTAGGGGTGATTTTGATAGGCCTTGAGAGCCCCTATCTAAAAAAATTGGACGTCACAATTTGGGCCACCCCGTATATTGATGAAGACCAAAAAAATAATATCTTCTAAAAATACTTTTCTTTCAACAAATGTGCACCTTTCTGGTATTGTGTGTTGTTATAACGGTTAATTATAATTATACTTGTTTCAGATATTTGGAGGAGTTACTACCTATATCATAATCTTAATGCAACTCTCTTATGATAAAACATAATTTATTATTAAATGCATGATCCTTCAATCTAAGCCAGAAGAAAATATGAGGATTCATGAGTTGAAAGTAACCTTCAATTAAACCAAATAGTATTGTACTCACATTCTAAATAACAGAATTGTCCAAATAGATGTAAACTCGTAAGACATACTTTTTGTTGAAATAAAGTGATTTTTCAAGTATTCATTCTTAATTTTGAATTTTATAATTTTAACTATGCTCATTTCAACTTAAAACAGCTGTTAATCAGATTTGAAAAGAAAACATGCTTTTAAATTACCAAAATAATGATTAATGTTTTTATAATACTTTATATGATCACAAGCTTATTTGCAAATTTGCTTATTTGCAAATTCCCTCAAAAACCAATTTCAGAAAGTGCTGATTGATAACAACTCACTAAACTACGTAACTTTAAAATATGGGGTACTGCAAGGACCATTTCTAGGCCTTATACTGTTTGAACTTTGGAAATCATCAGTAATGTAAGATTCACCTTCAATCAGGAAATTAATAATTCATACAAAGTAATGAGTAAATAACTTGACACATTCTTGAAAAATGCTTCTTCTGTTTAATTTCTCATTTATTTCAGTTTCAGTTTCTGTTTCATGAAAAATATATATTTTTCATTATTCTGACTCCTAACCAACCTAATTGCTTAGTACAAAAACTAATTTAGGAAATTTCAAAGTTCACTTTTACTATTTATAATGGAATAAGAATAAATAACAATTCATAAAGCTGTTCATAAATTAAAAACAATAATCCATTAGGTTCCAAAGCTAGTAGACTTAAAAAATTCCAATTACCTTTGAAGATCTCAGTGGATGAACACGATAAGTGCCATTTTTGAAAAATTCAAGATATCTGTGATCTGTGACATGATATAGCATGATTTATTTCAGTAACTTGATGATTCAAAAAGTAAATCTATGAAAACAAAACTTAACATAGTTAATTCATGGCTACCATCAGCTCCATAGATTTATTGGCTTCAGTTGTGAATTTGACTTAGTAGATCACAAACTATTACTGATGAAAATGGAAAAAATGGGGATACGAGATAAACCACATGATTGGGCGGAATCATATCGTTCAAATCGTTCTCAAACCATTGTTCTGGATAATGAACGGTCAAATTGAATAAAAGAATATGCAGATGAAAAAAAATTTGTACTAACACATAATCCGAAAAACTAATTGAGAAATGTAATAAAGCATCTATCAAGAAAATGGGCTAACATTAGATGCAAAAAAACGTTATATATACAGTTTGTCACCGATAAAATGAAAATAATGAATTTGATGCTAGAATGACATGTTGGATACAGTTGAAAAACATTTCATGCTTTAAGCAAACTTCAAAAATAATTCAGAATCCGCCGTTTTTAAAATCAACAAGTTTTTAAATTTTAGATGCAATGTATATTTAATGTACTAGTTAGCATAACTTTTAACAATTTTTATTTTATAGCGCAAGTCTGTATGCATTTTACAAAAGTAAGTTTTTAGTATTCCAAACCACAATTCCTCTGACTAGTCTGATACATTTATGTAATGTCAATTATGTACATTTCCTGATGCATGAATTCTATTCTATTTACCAGTGAAAATATGAATATGAAAGATTGAAATCGAAATATGTATATATGATAAGTATGTATGTAATAATTTCTATACAAACCAAACTAAATAATCTCACTGAAACAACCTTTAGCAGATGCTGTTTCGAAAACTCAAAAATATAACAAATCATAGAATAAAATGTAAATGATGAAATGTTATACAGGGTGTATCTTAAATGATGTCATTAATTTCAGGTGGTAATTACTTGCTATATTTTATGAAAAAAAGTTCATATGAACATGGTTCCCTATTCAAATTATTTCAGCACACTACAGTAAATTTTATTCAAAAGAGTTGAAAAAATCACTTACCGATTTATCTTTGAGCAACACCTGAACTTCTTTGGAGGAAATACTTAATGAATGATTCATCAAATAGCATCTGATCTTATATTTCAATAGTTTTTTTTCAAATTCTTCAGACAAAGGTTTTGGAGGGGGAAGTGTTATCTAGAATTGAACAGAATAACTATTGAAGAAGCCATTTTTTACAGATCTTTCCCAGTATATAGAAAACATTACCTTTCTCTCCTTTCCATTTTTATCCAAACCTTTTAGAGGAATGGAACCTCCATAGATCAAGTTATTCTCCAAATAACTTATGAGGGTTAAAGCTTTGTCAGGTTGTCGAAGGCTGAGTTGTATTTCTATAGCTAAGAGACTGACCTGCTTTGCCAGATATTCGTCTGGAATAAAGACATGAAATAGCAAATAAGAAGAAATAGGTGTTGAATAAATTACCCATCGGCTCGATGAACTTATATACTCTATCCATAATTCTTTGGGCGGCTGTATATTGTCTCTGGTGATAGAGTATTACAGCTTGGTTGTATTGTATAATGCAGTGGTCAATATCATCCAATTTGTCAACTTTTACTTGAAACTGATAAAACAGAATTTACTAATCTATTTTAAATAATAAAAAGCATTTTCTAAAATTACCTGATTACAAATTGAGGTGAGAGACTTCTGTAATTGCTCCGTTTTCTTCAGGTCGCTCTTACAATACTCGACAATTGCTTTATTGTGTACAACTTTCAAATCGTTGCTCCTGCTTTCCAACTTGTTCAGCAGTTGTAAGCAGGCACTATAGTTTTTTCTGTGAATCAAATTTCAGAATAGTAATAAGCAACATAAGAGATCAAGAAACTCACTTCTTAAATTCCTCTAGAGCATTTTGTGCGATTTCCTTTTCTTGGTCAGACACAATTTCTGGTCCTTTTTCTTGTTCCTTCTCAGCCATTTTAAGTTTCTAGTTAATGGTCCTCAATATAATAAATAACTTATCAAACAACGTTCTTTAGCGATGTTTTGGAACTTTTGAGTGAGGTTAGTTGGACAGATTTGACAGAGAGATTGTAAAAATAATTTACGTTCGAATATTAGCACAGCACACTTTTATTATTTCAATAATAAATAGGGAATTTTGTACTCTATACATTGATGCAGTTCAATTATTTACAAATTATAATTTGTTGCCTCTTTTCAGCTTATATGATGTCGTTAGGCGATTTTTGACCAATTTTTCTTTACGAATTCAAAATGAGACTAAGCGGTGCCGAAACAGCCGTATAAATTACCCAAGCTTTTGACAATAATAGAGTTTAATGAACGCATTTGTTCGACGTTGGTTTGCGAAATGACGTTCCAGAGATTTCAGTCTCGAAGATAGGCCCCGAAGTGGTCAACCCACGTTTAAAACCTTTCAGAAACGTTGAAAAGCTCGAAAAGTGGTTGCTCTACGATTTTAACTATCGACAGAAAATGTCACATTTCGAGGTCTGTACTTCTTTGTTTTTGCACAACTAAAATGATCCGTTTTTTGGTCGGACGTGTGGTGCAAAGTGAATTCGTCTACGACAACAGGAGACGTTCAGGATAATGGTAAGACCCACGTCATATTCATGTCTCTAATGACAAATGAAAACCTGCGTATGTGTGAATGTATTTGAAATGAAAATTTATCATTTACAATACATTCTTGTAAATATGAACAAAATACAGGTTATTTCAAATCAAAAGCTTTTTCAAATGCATAGAATGTGAAATAATCACTCTTTACTATATCAGGAAACACTATATTATGAGAGTTATTTAATTGTCTTGCGTCCCTGTTTTCAAGTCATAAGTATATTGTTTCAAGTATGTTCGTTCTTGGATATATTGAGAATGAATTTATTCTGAATTGCAAAACTTCCAGGCTTAGTATATACTAGTCCTAATTGCTGCACAAAAATGCCAGACTTAACATAGAGGTAGCACGAATGAAAAAAAAATTGACCATCCGTTCGACGTGTATAATTCCGTCGTCTTTCAGGACAGACGAATTTGAATTACAATATAAAGATAAAAGTCTGTAATACTTTGAATTATATGATGAAACTTGAAAAAGTTAAGTTTTTACAGTGTTCATTAAATTATTGTCGAACTTAAAGATGAGTGCGTTCTGTGGTACTTTGTCTCTTCAAAATAATGACAAACTCTGAGTGACAAACCAAGTCACAGCATAATGTTTCATATTCTGAGATAAGAGATGGCGCGAAAATCTACACTGTCAATCCATTTAACGCTTAAAGGGGGTGGGGATCATTAGAAAGAAAACAGTGGAAAGGACGTCGTAATGGTGGTCGCGGGTGTATTTTGCAGTAAAAATAATGGTGTTAAATGGTTTATTATTGCCTAATTCTATAATTAATGAGATAGATAACATAGACAAAGAAGTGTATTAACGCTGCGTGAAATTAAATCTTGGTGATAGTCGACTGTTTTAAAACTAGTGAGAATTTTTATTTGTAATGACTTCCCAAGAAGGCCAGACTGTGCGGTGGCTGTAAACATTAGAACTTACATTCTAATGTTGGATCATAAACTTTGTAAGCAGTGATATCGTGCGTTTTAAATTATGGAAAGTACAATGGAACGCGAATCTGGAGCATTAGGAGGACTTTTCCAACAGATTATTCAGGATATGAAGGTAAGAAAATTGTGAATATTTGTTGCAAATGTACCATGGAAATTACTGTTATTCTGTCCTGAATTCTAGTAAATCGTACATTTATCATGTAATTGACCTTCAACTAGCAATTTGCAGTTTCAATTTAAAAATGCATTTTATCTAATTAATTAATTGTTATATATTTTCTGATTGATTAAATTCAACATCTAGTTATGGGTATCTACAACTTTTACTATTCAGGTTGGATTGTAACATCGTTCATTTTTTGAAACATTTATACCAATGATTATCACACATCTTATGTAAAAATGTTGCAATCTCAATGGAAGCCTATGGCTATAATTATTCTATCGAATTTTAACCCAATTCATGTAAGTGGCTTACGAATGCTAAATATGTAACCTGATTGTCAAATTATAAAACTTTTATTCTTACTCCATTGGTTAATTCTGAATCCAGTGTAATAATCAACTTTTCCAGCAGCTAAGAGTTCTTTAAGCATACCAATTTGTTTGTATCATCTGTGTATGTGTATATTTATATAATGAAACTGGTGAAAACAGTGTGAACAATCTATGAAAACAGCTGTTTTGATCATCAAAAGTGTGGATCATTCACAAATGTTTCTTTTGAAGAAAATCCATTTAACAAAACTTCATAAAAAGTATTTAAATATTGGAAAAATCCCAACATAAATGAAAGGGTTAGTAGGTTTTTTTTTTAATTTCTATTGATAAGTAGAACCAAATTTGTACCATTTCACTGACAAATCGAAAGTTTTTGGCATTTTTGTGACATAAATCATATAATTGATATAATACAATTGATGCAAGAGAAACTAGGTATAACCACCACAGTGATTTTTTCTGAAATTCTTATTTGTCTTACTATTTTTCCCGAATGGTCAATCAAGTGCCGATATCGTTTCAGTATCATTGGAGTTAGTTATTGCTCTAATTGGTTCTCATATTCCCAGCAATATATTTCTTATCATAAATCTATTGGTTCCTGATCATGAATAATGATTGCACGAAGATAAACACAGAGTTTTTCTCTCAGCTGGGTTTTTACGCTAACTACAATTGGATTTCATTTGAACTGATGTACATAGACGAAGAGAATTATCTGTAAATCTGATATAAACAAAAATTTCATCACAATTCCATTTCAGAACTAAATGTAAAAGAATATTTATTTTGATAGCAAAGTGAATTATGAATACCCTTGAAAACAACTCCTTTCAGAATGTTGAGTAATATTGATTTTATTTTATATGTGATGTCATTTTCTCTTAAGATTCCAGAGCCTTCAGACATTTCTCATTTCAGCAAAGTATATGATTAGGATTATTCTATTTTCAACAATCCAGCATCAGATCCCAAACAAGGCATCAATACATAAAGGTGTCATTAGAAGGGGGCAATATATGATGTATTCAGTAGGTAGTATCCATTCTTAAGCCTTCACTTCTGCACAAAAAATGACTGGTGGTTTTGCAAACCCCCAAATCTCAGTTTGAATACCAAAATATCTTATATGTTCTTTTGTCAAATACAACTCTGACATGATTTTTTGATAATTGATACTTTTTTGGTGTCAACGTCATCAACTACTTTGGTTGTTAGCTTCGTGTTCCGGGTAGGCAATGTTAATAACTCCCCGAGCCACCCAGGGGGCATCATGGTTATTAGCTGTTCGTCAGCCATGTAACGTTGCAGAATCATCACAGATTCAACTAGATAAATTATTTCGAGGAAAATATCTGGTCGCAAATTCACCGTTTGATTTTAATTTGAAGTACATAAAATACTGGTTAGTTCTTTTTATTTGTTGTATATAAACACTTCAAAGATTCCTGTGAAATAGATTATTTATTTATTTATTAAGTAGGTAAACCTATTTACAAGATTACTCAAGTTGAGTAATTTTTTGGTCACATACTTAGATACTGGAAACAAAAATTATTGAATACAGATCTCATTGTGTAGGAACATTTGTTGGGTAACAGGATCAATTTTTTCTTAAAAAAACAATTGTATTCTTATCGACGTTTATAATTTCCATTATTATTTTTATAATCACCAAAATTTATTTTTGTTTGTGCATACCCTAACGGGCATAAGCATTCAGCTAATCTTTGGATAGCTAAGTAAGAAAATTAATATATTATAGTAGTAACTATTCCCTCGGCTTTCATTTCTTCGATAGTTGGGAAATTTTGCTGGCGGGGTTGGGAAAATTTGGATTCCCTTCCCCCTGGTTTTTCTTTTCGCTACGGCCCTGATTGCAACAACAAATTTCCGAGACAACACCAACACAAAACGACATGAAAACAAACGAATGGCTTCATCTGTGATTCTGATAAGGTGGTGTCTGTTTTTTAATCAATGGCAGACAGAAAAAGAATGAAAAAAGTGTAAATTATTCAGATATTTTACGTATCAAATTGAAATATGCAGTATTAAGGCCATCGACATCTCTTCTAGTGTTAACACTATCGCATTTGAGGATATGTATCATTTCGCTCAAAAGTCTTTTGGATAAATATGGGTGAACATCTAGAATAGTTGGATGATCAAAATCAAAAATGTGTCCATATTCTTTTTCATGTGCAAGGAGAGCTGTGGGGTTTTTTATGTTAAGTTTCTTAAGAGTCTCTCATGTGTTCTGAAACTCGTATTTATGATACCGTTCGGTTTGACCAACGTAGCATTTGTGACAGCTTCCACAGTTTAATTTGTACACAATTGGAGATTTTTGTTATAGAATTGGAATTTTATTTCAAAATGTAATTTCTTATTATGTATGTATCGATTTATCTTATTCGAACTTGGTTTGATTTCTGTTAAGCATTTCAGTCCTTTTTTCCATTTCTTCCTTGATTGAGGCTTCATCTACTGGATGAAAATCATACTACTCCACGGTAGTTAAAATATATTCTATCTTAGACGAAGGATTCATGTATGTGGTGGAACAATGATGAAGTAACTCTAGTTCTGGGCACACTGATGTCTTGTATCTGCAAGAGTTTTCTCTACGAGAAATCTTACACAAATGTCTGCCGGATATAATTGAATGTTCTTCGTGGTATTAGTTGGGGAAGTAGTTGTTTTCTGGCAGGCAGAGCCTACTGTGCAGAAACGGAGGGAGAGGTGGATGTTTCGAATTTTATTTCATATTATTTGTTTTCTTGATGAAGTTTGTTTTAATAAATCTATTGAAATGTTTGAAACAGTAGTGGAAAGAGCTCAAGAACTTACAGAACTGCTTCGAGGAGGGAAAAAAAAAGCTGGCACAAGTTATTATTTCTCAGGGAGACTACTTTGAAGGGGACAAAATATAAATTGATGAATATATAAATATTTTTTTTGAGAAAAATTAAAATTTCATTTTTTGAACAGACAACT